AAAATTTTCTTAGAGCATATTATTTTATATCATAAGGTCGTTGACAGTTTATGAGTAAATGCACTATAGCCCCCACAATGTTTTGGGTTTTGGTCGATTTAGTCCCTTAACATAATTTCTTGCTTTTTAAGGGATTAAAGTCCATAGCAACCTATGTATTTTGCCATCCTAACAGATTGTAACAGGTTTCACATGCCATGTCAACTAAAATTGCCAAATCATCACCAACGTGGACTCACTTAGCAAAATCGACATCACTTAGCACAGTTGAAGACGAAGATGAATTTTGGTGTTTATGGAACTTACTTTGAAAATCAAAATTATCGAAGGCACTTGACGTGTTGAGTATCGAAGTAGTCAAATTGATTTAGATACGTCACTGATTTGCTGTTTATTGACTCATCACTGATTTTGAACAGTCAATCTAAAAGTCGAAATTGGTGTTTATTGATGTTTCGATAGTAATATGGATTGAAATAATTTCGATAGTCACTAGTTCAAGATCAAAGTTTTATGTATGGTGATATCGATGTTCAGATGAATGGTTAGTGAACTACAAGAGAATGGTCAAAGCATAGAATTAAAAAGTCAAACTTTGAGTTCTTTTGGTTAAATATAATCAAAGTGAAGTCTGTGAAATCAATTGCAGATTGAAGTGTGAATCGAAAGTAAAAGAAAAAATTGTTAAACCACTAGTGAGATTGTTATTGTTTAGATCGAGAATATGAAGAGGTTCAAGTTTGAAAAGTTATTGAGCAATCATACCCTGGAAATAATTCACACTCAACATTCACTACAAGAATAAATACCTATAGGGACGAGATCTATAGGGACGACATCTATCGTTGCTATAGGCTCCCTATAGGGACGACATGTCGTCCCAATAGAGTTGACCATCTTTTTTTGACTTTTGAAGCTACAGCGACAACTACTCGTTTCAACATTGTTAAGCGGGAAAAGAAGTGGCTTTGGCGCATTCTTATAACACTTGTGGAGACGACTTATCATTCTTATAAATAACAAAATTTTAAAATAACAATTTTTTTTAATTAATTCACAGAAATAAAGTCATTTTGGGGATAACTATAGTGACGATTTGTCGTCCCCATAGCTCTCTATGCCAAAAATATGTATTTTTTAATCTATTTAACTGGAAAATGGAAAAACGACGTCGTTTATTTGAGGCTATAGGGATGAGTTCAGATCACATAATCCTTCCCCTTGGTGGTCTCCGGTCTTCTCTTTTCACTCTCCGGAGGCGATTTGCTCACATCATTTGTCTAACACTCGAATCATCTCCATTTCTCGTTCGTTCAAGGTTTTTAGAGCTCAAGCAAATCTCATTCTTCTTTACAGGTTCGTTCAAGCTAATGTGTGTCTCCAGTTTTTCTATGTTTTTTGTTCCTTCTTCTCCGTCCCTAACTAGTGATTTTCTATGTTTTCACAGTTGCTCTCACATGAGGCTATTTGCTCTCATCGATAAGCAAATCTCCATCTCCGTTTCTCCTCCCCTAGTATAGCTTCTACGATAAAAATGACATTTGATTTCTAATGACTGACAACCTCATTTTGTTGTTGAGGAAGAATATCGAGATATTGAGCAACATCTAGGTCATGAATAGAGTTGGAATCTGTTTGAGCTGAAAAGGTATCAAAATCAATTTGTCAACACTCGAATCATCGGAAATCCCTTAGACCAAGAAGCCCCCTCAGAATCCAAATCTACCGTGACTACCTCATTATACGGTATGTTTAAAAAATCAAACTATTAAAGTATTTTAATAATAATTGTATGCAGAACACTTTGATTTCTACATCTTTAGAAATTATCGAAGGCCTCTGTCATTCACAACTGTCATTCCATGGTGTATATACATAATTTTCATAGTCAAGTATTTAGTTATATCTCTAAATCTGAATTACAAGAAATCCTTCGTCATTTACACATCTAATATAGGGGAGATTTCATATGCACGCTAGCTGTTTAATGAATTTCCTAAACCATATATAGATTGGGTTATGTCACTGTATGCCAATTGTGATAACAGTTTATTAATGTAGCTCATCTAAAATACTTACTTCTCTTCAGGGCAATACACTTCCACTTTTATGTTTTCCATACTTCATGTGAATGATGCAATGTAGATAGATGCTTCTATTGAAATGATTACCATGTTTTGTTCCATATTCTCTTGAGATTTTTTGTTGGTATTGCCATGTTTTGAAGTTCTTATCTATACATAAATTTTTGGTCTCATTAGATTGGCTTTAACTTTGACTTACTTTCATTTTTCAAATCAAGTATCATGTGTCAATTGAATATGATTCTCCTGGTAAAGTTTTACTCTTCAAACTGGTCATAGCTTGTAAGTACATTTATTTTGTTTGCCTCCTGCTATGAATTTTCTTCACCATTTGACTCTAAGAAAAATAAAAGATTATGAAATGCTAATCAGGTTGCTCTCAACTCTATGTAAGAGTAGACATTTATAAATTACTTAATTGGTGCTTGTGATATTGGAATTATAACTAATACTGATATTTTTGCAGTTTCTTGACCTTTGAAATTGTGATTATCTGTGAAGATTACATTGTTGAAATTTTCAAGGAACTTTTCATGTGTTTTTCAGACTGATGATATTCGAACCAAAGGAAAAGATATCATTCAACTAAAATCTGAATCAATCAAGGAACAAATGGTCCCTTTAAGGACTTGGGTATGTTAAAATATCAAATAATTTTTCGCTAAGATTTTTAATTACTTTACTGAAGTTCGAATCTGTTTAATATAGTTTACTAAAATTTCAGGTAGGAGTAGCTAAGGAATGGCATATGGAGAAAAAGGAAGACATTAAAGAGAAGCCTCTGGTTAAAGAGCTTTCAAGAATGTTGGGTGCCAAAAGATCTACCTAATAAGTCAAAAGTTAGTAGATTACTTCTACTTTGTTATACATGCCTATGATCATTTTTGTAAATAAGTTAAATGAATAAATAATTTTGTCAATCTTATTGTATACTTGTATCATATGTTTACATTATGCTAGAAAAGCATTTATAAAATATATGAACTCATGTTTTACACTTTAAATACAACAAATTTGATGCTATTGCCTTTGGTCCAATGTACTCTTGGTTGCTTCTTCACTTTCAAATTTGTAGTCTAAACCAGCTCCATATTTCCATGCTTCAAGTTTCTATAGGTGTATCTATAGAGATGACATGTCGTTTCTATAGGTGTATCTATAGAGATGACATGTCGTCTCTACAGGTACATCAACCACGACGACCTGTTGTTGCTATAGGGTAAGGACTGTCGATTGCATCTCTGTCTGTAGAGACCACCTGGTGTCTCTATAACTATATCTATGGAGACGACAGGTTGTCTCTATAGCTGTATCTATGGAGACAACATGTTGTTTTTATAGATGAAGCTATAGAGACGACTTGTCGTCTCTATAGATACAACTATAGAGACCAGCAACTTGTAGCGACGAATCAGAATAGGACGACATGTCGTCTATAAAGGCAACCTATTGCGACAATATTTTTAGCGACGACCAAAAGGTTCTATTGCAACGGGGCTATGGAGACGAAAGATGTAGGGACGACTTGTCTTCCCATACACCTATAGAGACGACTTTTGAACCTATAGAGACGACAATTTTTATCCCTATAGGTCCCTTTTCTTGTAGTGATTAATGTTGTCAAGTTCCGAAGAGAAACCAGTTCAGGTCCTAGTCCACCTTCAAGCGAATTTGTGCTCATATCCAAGTAAGCGGAAAAGTTGGCCGAGAATGGAGCCATTGAAGTTGTGCATCACGTCAAGATGAACAAGTCCAGTGAGATTACAAAACCCATCCCCGGGGATCTCACCTACCAACAAATTCATGGAGATATCAAGGAATTTAAGGGATTGGATTTCGAAAAGAGGATTCAAGATATTGGAATATGCCAGAACCTAGTCAACAAACAGAGGAACAACAACGTCAAGGTGGAGCTGGGTGACGATTCTGGTTTTGTTTCTGGAGTTGATTATCGAATTGAGTTGAAGATCGAAAACTTCATTATTAGTGATGTGTTGATTCAAGCTTACTTCTTGCGTTCTATTCACAGGGAAATTTGAGTTACATAATAACACATGTTATATATTTGGCCATAAGCTTTTAGCATTTTCGTAAATTTAGTTGACATGGTACATGAAACCGGCTACAATCAGTTAGGATGGCTAAATAGACAAGTTGCTATGGACTTTAATCCTTTAAAAAACATGAAATTAAGTTAAGGGGCTGAATCAAAGAAAAACCCAAAACATTGTAGGGGCTAACGGTTATCCGTCCTAATATATTTATATAGCTTGCATCGTAAAAAAGTCCATGCATTTACATTGGCATCTCCACCTAATTGCAGTCAAATGCATTATTCGCTACATACTTGGACACCTAATTGTGGCATATTCCTTCATATAATATCAATATCATCACTACAACTATAATCCCATTGTCATGCTTGTATAGTTGGTTGTCCTTACGGAACATATTTATCATAATCGCACAAAACACAAGAAGGCTGTAACCATCGAGTAATCAACTTTCCACGTCTATTAAGCGCATATATATCTTCCCCAAATTCATGGCATGTCAAAACTATCTTTTTCGTGTGGGCAAATTGATACTTGTCAATTTACAAGCATCAATATGAGGAGAGATTTGATAGAGTTGATGCTGCAAATCAGCGTGCTTTTATTTTACGTAGTGGATTAAATCGATAAAATATTTTATACTTTTATTTTCATCATCTAGAAATATTTGAACTGCTATATTAGGATATACATATAAGGTTTACTTGTTTTATAGGGTAAAAATATGTAAATTTAGGTTATCATTTTACTTGTAAGTGAGTATATAATGAGAACTTTTTTAAAAAAAGATATATTTTTCACGAAAACTCTCAAAATTTGCCATCCTCTTCATTGCCCACCACCCACGTATTATGATGGTTGATCAGGGCGGCGGCCCATTGGCATATCCATTTCTGTTCATTAGAGTTATTATTAGTATTGATTTACTTAATATAAAGTCTGAACAAAGTTTCTCGTGAATTGAAAAAATAACAACATATTTTCATCACATTAACAAACAAACTTCAGTTTAACCGAGCTTTGAAAGAACATCATTAAGACTAGATACAGCTGCAGCGTAACTCTTCTCTGCATCAGCCGGGCTTTTGATCTTTGCTGCGTAGTCCAACTAATCCAAACAATATAGAAAAACAACATCAAAACACATTCTACGGAAAAATAAGCATTTTGACCAAATTACCCCTATGCATTAGCATTAGAATGTAATTATAATTCACTTTCTTTCATTAAAAATGTCCAACTTATTTTAAAGCTGAGTTTTACGCATAAATGAGACTTTTGTTCAAGATGCTTTTGCTTTATTTTTACAAGAAAGTAAGGGGCTTTTTGGACATTTTAACTTAATAGTGGAAAAACAGTTGTGGAAAACTTACATCAGCCATGTTCTGGAAAAGCTTCCCGGTGAGATCTTTGAGTTCCTTCTTTTCGTCCTTTGGCTTTGCGGAGATGATCGTCTTGAGGTCATAACGAAGGTACTCCGACTTCAAACGAAGATCGTTTTGGACATATGGCCATGCCTTTTTGTCGATGAACTCCTTGACATTTACAATTTCTTTTGCCGATTCCTTTACACGAGCTGTGGCCTCGGTTGGTGATAATGGCTGGATGAAGAACCGGTTCTTCAATGGTAGATCAAAGTCTCTTGCCTCATCGGAGTTAAGAGTACCAGCTGCAATTACACATAAAGATTCATTAAAATTATCGAAATCAAAGGGTATAAGAAGAGGTTGCCGGAGACTTACGGAGTCCACCGGAAGGTGGTGGAGGTGGTCCCAACTTGATCGGTTTAGCATCAGCAAGAACAGCCTGAACAAAAGAACCAGAAGCAAGACCAGTGGCAATGAGTCCCAACACAGCTCTTCTGCTAGTTTCTTTTTCGCCTTGTCCTTGTTGGGCTCTAACCACAAGTCCAGACCGGGAAACACCAATCCGGTTGTTCCCAACCGGTGTCAAACGGGTGGAGCCGTTGAGCTGGAGGCTGCCTTCCAAGACAGCTAGAGAGGAACCACTTAGTCCTGCCATTGATGCTGTTCTTCTGTTTTGTTACTTGTGTTTTAGTGTGCAATTTTAAATGAAATAGAGAAAATAATATGTGATGGGATCAACACCTTATCTTTGAAATGCTTTATTCTGGATAACTTGGATATGTTTTTGGCCAATGGGTGTTTGAGTTTTTGACAGGTTGGATGAGGTTTTATAGCATCCATTAGGATTTTGACACGTAAGTTTCATATAAAATAGGTCACGTGACAGGGACCCATAATAACTTGTTCTAAAATTATATAAAATAAAACAACAAAGAAAAAATTACATGTGGAATAGGCACATATAGTCATATTTTAAGAAAATAGACAAATTTGATCCTTGTGTTTTCTCGATATTATGTAACTGGTCCCTCCGAAATGCACGACGTAAAAAACTACCGTTAAATTTATATGAAATGACATTTTTACCCTTTTTTTTCATATTTTTCATATTTTATTATTACTTTCTAAACTGTAGGGACCATTTATGTAACTTATCCTAAGAACATGAAAAAAATCAACCTTGTTTGAAGATCTAGTCGGAAACGAAATCATTCCCTTTAAGAATTTGAGATAAAATATGTTTACAAATACATAAATTGAAGTACATGATTAATGGTGAAAAACGATATTTATTCTAAGTCACACTTTCATCTTTAGTTCTTGTCTGGAGTTGTATGAGGACCGCCACCAAATCTATTTCATCCACTATCCTAACATGTGTCGCCACCAGCTAAGACACTACTTGAACCTTCGAATTTTCCATTACCAGAGCCTTGAGACATTTTTGAATCATTGTCGACACTCCTACTAAATTTGAAGGACCTAAAATCAAAGGTGGTTTGATATAATCCCGAGTTCAACTGATGTCAATTGATGTGGGGTGGAAGCTAGGGAAGGAAAAATGGATAGATTCAATTACAATTGAATGACGGAGCGTGGTGACTAGTGATATAAACCGAAAAGCTGACCTCTTATACACAATCAAACATACGCGTAAACTTAAGATGAAAATCCTTCTAGAAAAAAGAAAAAGAAAAAATGATCACTTATCTAACGATCGTAAATTAAGGTCAGATGATTAATGTATAATAGTAATAATTATTATAATTAAAAAAAATCTTCAAATAGGATAATTATTCGTCATACACGTTATGAGCGATAAATAGATGTTTTTTATAGAAGATTATTTAGGATAATAATCTTGATGAGAATTGTAGTAATCGTAAAAGCGAGAGTGTGCATATAAATAACGCTTAAATCTGATTTTGTATGAGGAAGTTATGCTTTTTTGAAGTTTCAGTACAACAGTGTTCAACACAGAAATCGAAATATAAATCGGTTGAGTGTTAGCCAAAACAATCTAAATGAGAGTTGAAGATCCAGTAAATCCCAACTCGTCGATATAAAGACAGTCGAGAATGGGTGACGTATCAAAGAGTTATGATTTTTAAATGGAGTTTAACAGTCTAAGCCCAATAAAAATATAAATTAAAAATAAACTGAGATATAGCCGACAGAGTCTAAATGAAAGTTGTAGTACTTGTCGATAGCTACACGTGGATATAAAGAACGTCGAAAATGGAGCTCGTATGAAAAAGATATGGTTTTTAGAAAATCATGTACGCGCAGCACGCACTGCTTTTAGAAGGGTGACGCAGACCATAGGGAACTTGACACGTGGCACAAATCTGGAAAATCAACGTAGCGTGAGCGCGCGACGCGCCTGATGTCACACCCCGCTAAAGCGAAAACACAGGACGCGACATTACAATGAGTCTTATAGCAAAAGTTAAAAGACAACACCAACCATAGTATTAAAAACATTATAATTTACAATAAGTTTGAACAACGTTTAATTATGTTACAATACACAAAAAAAAATGTAACACATGTGAATACTTCTACAAGTGATGTGTCTCTAGGTGCCTCTTACTAGATGATTCCTAAAAAAACATGTAAATTGAGCGGTTAACTACCGAAATAGTTGGTGAGTTTACAGGTTTATAACATAACATAGTTTTAAATCATGAAAATCAGAATATTGATAAAAGTTTCCAAAAACGGAAGTTCGTTGCTAAAAAGAGTATTACAGTTTCCAGTAATAGAAGTTTGTTGCTATAATGAGTAAACAAGTTCATTGTTATCAAAAGAAATAAAGTTTGTTGTTATCATGAAAAATAAAGTTCGTTATTAACAAGAAAAACAAAGGTTGTATGTGCGTAATGATCAAATCATGAGTTCACAACCCAATCCTAAGACCGAATGCCCTCTTGAATGCTATGTTTATCGGTAACATAGGGAGAAATATGGTAAAATGCACTCACGTGAATCGTGTGAGTGAGGAGTTGTCTACCTCCTAATAGCGCTATCAATAACGACCATGGACTCAAATGAGTTAATGAGTTGTGTGAACTGATTCCAGGGACTCAAAACGGGATAAGGCCTCATGAATTAACAATAGCATACACATACACAAAAAAATATAGCAACCAAGTTTGATACAAGTCAAATAAAATACAACGAACAATAAACAGTTTTTGGACATGTTTTTCCACCCCAAAACGTAAAAACTGAAAATAGGGGGAAGTGTGAATACTCATAATGCTTTGAGATAATGCAAATGGTGCCTTGAACTACGCTCCACTCATACCACTATCGATTCCTACAACGATGTTACACACTAATGAGTCTCTAATTGAAATCTAACACTAGTATACTTACTACTACAATAGAATTATGCTAATATTGTGTTAAAATTTAATATTGTTAATTACAAACATTTTTCAGTGAAATTTAGATTTCTATGAATCAATTTGTTGTATAACAAATTCAAGTGGAAATCCCTATTATTGAAATGTTAAAATTTAACATTTTAGGAGGTGTTTCAATGATTAATTATTCAAAAACTAAATCAATTTAGTTCGAAAAGTTTCCAAACATTGTATTTTAGTTTTAACTGAAATAAAATACCTTAAGATAAATTTTCTTGAAATTTTGATTTGTCTAACTATTTTTCACCATTTTAATTTCTTGAATAATCACAAAATCATGAAAATAACAATCAGTTAAGAAAATTCCCCAAACTTTTTGTACTAGTGTTATTAGACATATAAAAGCTGGGAAAAATATAAAAGTTGGTTTCCAAACAGTTAGGTATTTTTCTTTGTTTTATTCGCTTAAATAAGCATTAATTCGTAAATAATTATTAAACAGTAAATTAAAATTACCAAACTTTTTTTAGATTTCATATACAGTGTACATAAGCTGGAAAAAATACCAAAATTGATTTTCAAATGGTGTAACCCGATTTTATGATTTTTGTGTGTTTACTCTAACAAAAATGAACATAATTAGAAAACAGTTTGTAAAATTTTCCAAACTTGGTGTTGCACTTTTATTAAACATATATAATCTGGGAAAAATGCCAAAGGTGATTTTCATATATAGGAGTCTGATTTTCATAATTTATGTGTATTTAATAAAAACAAATTAGACTAAATAGTAAACTGTTAAGATAATTTCTAATTTTTTTTTTAAAATTGTTTGATGTTGTATATAATATGGGAAAAATATCAAGAGTCATTTGTAAACAGTGGAGTCCGATTTTTGGATTTATGAATGTTTAATCTTAGGAAAATAGGAAGAAAGTAGCAAACAGTAGAGAAAAGTCACTACACTTTTCATTTGGCATCCTACCATAACATAAGATTTCTTGGTAAATTTTCATGAATTTTGGATATGAGAAGCTATTTTTCCCATTTTTAGTCCTTTAAATATACAAAAAATGATGGAAAATTAGGAATAAGCTGTGAAAAATTCCCAAAATATTTCTCTAAGTATGACAAATGACATAGAAGAAGCAAAAATTCTTAATGCTCTTTTAATATCTCAGAACTTGGTTTTATGATTTATTTGAATTGATCATAAAGAAAATTAAAAATCATAGAAAACAGTAACAAAAATTGATTAAATTTTGTGAGGGATGTTTATTCATATTATGGGTCATCCATGAAGTTTTATAGGATTTATTGACCTCAGTACGTATTTTATGTGATTTATGGCCTCATTTTATTTCAAAAATTACAATAAATCAAGGAAAATGAATAAATATATGAAACTTTCCAGATCATCTTATTATATCACTGGGTTTCTAGGAAAAATTGTGTTTGTACAAAATTGAAGTTTTACATATTTTTGTGGATTAAAATCTTTTATGAACATATTTAAAAGCCTTTTAGCAATGAACTTTGAACATCAAACATTTAAGCTTGAGTTCATCGCATGCATTATGGTTTGAAGATCATGCATTAACTTGATTGTTCAAAATGGTGTTTTTAAGAAGAAAAATCGGATGCATGTGGTTGATGAACATCAAAACTTATAGAAATGTTCATTTCCTTGGTTTGACATAGGTTTAGGTCATCGATCTTCACCATTTCGTAACATGCAATATGTTTTTGGTGAAAATATACCACCATCATCATTAAATCCGAAGGGTAGATGAACATGCATAAGATTTTATCATGAAGAAAGATGAAGATGAAGAAGATACTAAAAATATTTCGAAAATAAAGAGGGATAACAAGAAAACTTATAAAAATTATTATGGATCTTCAAAGAATGTATATGTTTTACCTTTTCTATGATTTGTGGCTTCAAAAACACCATCTAAACTTGTAAATTTCGTGGCTTTTGGGGCTGATTAATGGAGAAAGAAAATGGGGTTTTTAAAGAGAAGAAAAGTGAGAAAAGAGAGATCATATCTCTCTGGATAGCTCATCTCTCTCGTCATCTCTTTGGTGTTATACTCCACCAAAATCGTACAATAAGCTCCAGAATTGTAACTTGATTTATGATAAATAGATTGGGTAAATCTCTCCCACAAATTATTCATCTAAGTTCGGATTTGTTAGGGAGAAGGAGAGAGACGTTTTTATAAAGAAAAGTAGAGAGATAAAGTGTGTGAGAGAGTGAAATTGATTCTGATTTTGGGGAAGGGCTCTCTTGGGGAGTGTATGGCCGAATTTTGGAGAGAGAAGAGGGAGATTCTCTTTTATTTATTCCTTAAAATCGTTTCCCTTTTATTTATTTTATTTTTTTATAAACCTTTTTCCAAATTTTATAAAA